CGATGAAATGAAAGATTTAAAGAAAAAAATTAAGGACACAGTCAGTCTAAATGAGTTTTTAATGAGATATATTGCAAATTATGAGCACTTTTAAACAGCAAGCTAACTTTTAGCTGCTTACAGATGTTCTTCTTCTTTGTCTGCATACACTTCTGGGTGGTTTATGTTGCCTGTATTTCTGTGATCAGATCGTCATGACGCTCTCTTCGTGGTTGGCTCACTCGATGAGACCTTGGAGCTAAGAGGGCTGCGCTATCATCCAATTGACATTGAAACCTCAGTGTCCCGGGCTCACCGCAGTATAGCTGAGAGGTGAGAATGGTCCTGATAAACATACCTAACTGAAACACACACAAACACACACACAAACACACACACAAACACACACACTTTACTATTGTTCTAAGGCAACTACATATTGAACATTTGTACCCACCACTAAAATGCTAAGGGCTCTGATTCAACAACATCAGGGTGTAAAAGGTGAAGCCAATGCCTAAGTGCCTCAAACCTACTTTTTTGTAATCACTCCTCCTGTCGCAAATACAAGTGATTGCATAGAAGTCTATAAGAAAATGACCCTGCTTCTCACTTGATTCATAACCTCAGTGAACATTCTCCAAATGAGTGTATGAACTCAATCACTTGTTTTCAGTCTAAATACAGCATGACATTCATTTTGTGAGTCCCATTTAGAGTAAAATAGACAATAAAGCATCTACCAGGGTGTTTTCTGGATTTATGTGTTTTAGTCTTCAGACTTTAACCATTTCACAGTGTTTTTTCAGTTCATGGAAGTTATAAGTTGCATTGTGGCTAACAAATGCCAAACTACAGGCGTAAAAACCATAGTCCACAAACACATGGGTTTATAATTTATACAATCAATGGCAGCTTATTGTGATTTGTCTTCTTCAATTAATAAAGGAAATAAGCTTATTTCCTAAAAGGTAACATTTTTCTTTTAACGTTTCTTTTGGTTTCTCTTTCCTCACAGTGCTGTGTTTACATGGACCAACCTGCTGGTGGTGGTGTCAGAGCTTTGTGGTTCAGAGCAGGATGCTCTGGACTTGGTGCCTCTGATAACCAACGTGGTCCTGGAGGAGCACCACCTCATCACGGGGGTGGTGGTTATTGTGGACCCAGGGGTTATACCCATCAACTCTAGGGGAGAGAAGCAACGCATGCACCTTCGTGACTCCTTCCTCGCTGACCAGCTGGATCCCATCTATGTTGCGTACAACATGTAAGGGGTCGCGGTGGTCTGGGTCTGTATGGTCTGCATCATCAGCCCGGTCCAACTAAAGCTTTGGCAGAGGGTGAAAAGGAGGAGCATGAACCATATGCACTGCCACCCAGCCCTGTGTGACACCAGCGTTTCTTGGCCACTGCATGTCTGTGATTGGACCTGCCATGTTTGGAGTTCCTCACTGTGTTTCATAGATAGAATTTTGAAAATGGGACAGAAGCAACATGTGTATATATATATGGCAAAGGGGAAAAAAAGCCCCTGTTGCACTTTTTTAGGGAAAGGACAAAAACAGGACCACTCTTAAAATTAATTCTATATTAATGTTTTTGTGAAAGTCTGTCGTCTTATGCCGTACCTACCAGAAACACTTTCCCTTCTGTGTCTACACAGATTCCAAGAGCTATTCAACTTTGATCAACAACTTGAAATATTTTTTACATGCAGCTTTCAAACAAACGCACAGAAACGCATGACCTGAGCCCTTGTCATTTCTCACTAGCATGAATTAATAAAAGAGGGCAGATAAAACAAACCATCAAATGAGAAGCAAGTCTAAGACTGTGCATAATTTTAGAAAAACGTCCCATGATAATGAAGCCAAATACATTTTCACAACGTTCAAGCCCTAATATATTTCCTGCCTTATAAAACTTCAGCCATACATTCCTATCTTAATTTTTAATAAATCTGTTATAGGTGGCTTTTTAGTCTCCTTTGGATTTAAATAGTAATGAAAATCCTGACAGATATCCAAAGTAAACAAATTAAAAGAGAAAAGAGGCCATATTCTGTACTGTACCTATAAAGGCCTGTTGTATTTTGATACTGTACGTTACTGTATAGATATTTTTAATTGTGTAAATGTATACATGCTTGACTTGTCTCTCTCAGTGGATGGTATATGGATATTTTACCCAGCCGAGAGATGATAATTGTAGCAGAGAGAGGATTGTAAATAAGATTTAACAGCTTTGACAGTACTTTTGAAATGGAATAATAGTTAGTATAATGGAGGGTGGAGATGATTAACTTTAAAGCAATGATAGCCAGGATAGTTACAACATTGCACTTTCTCACAAATTGTCTATTTTATTATAACAATGAGGCATTAAAATGAATGGTTTAGGAGCATATATTCTGAGGATGAATGCTTGAGGAGCTTTGAGAGTTTAGTGGGAGGGCTATCACTGTTAATGCCAGGGATCTTTCCTGTCAGGCATTCAATGAACAAGAAAAACGTGGCTAAAGACCAATATCATGATTATTTTAAAACAACCAGGTTATGTTGTAAACATGCAAAAGAAGTAATAAATATGCCCACAACTGTTCATCTAATATCCATTACTATTGTACTTAGTATCACTAAAAAGCCCCCCCCCCCCCCTTTCAGTTTTGTATTGCATAATAGAGGAAATGATTGAGAGCGTGGCCCTTTCCTTTTCCTCTTCTCTTGTCTTCGTGCAACTTTGTAAAGAATTACTTTAAATTCCAACAGGATTGTTGTTGGAACTTTTAAGTCTGTAGTCAATAGAGGAAAGTCACCATGTATCTGGATTATTTTCTGTGTTCAGTCACTGGATTAAAAGCACTTGAAAATGCAGTTGCAAAGCTGAGCCTACACTTACAAAATCCTTGATTGGAAAGTAAGGAAAGTAATTGTATAAAAAAGAAAGAAGAAATGCAGCAAGATATATTTGCAAAATGTATTTTGTTTCCTGTAAGCTCGTGCTTTCCTTGTACTTCTTTGCCATTATTTATAGGTTCTTTGTACTGGATTAATCTGTATCTCAGTGATGAACACTAAATGTCAACATGTAAATAGTTTTTTGTTATTTTTTGACTTTTGCAACTGTCTCACTATAACATTCAATCATGCCAAACACAATATTAGAACGTTGTTTAATCATACAAAGGTAAACAGGAATATAATCCATTGAATTACTGCACTTTGCACTGGTGGTACTTACAGTAGGTGTCTACTGTGTGGACTAACTATACCCATTTCATGTTATATTTAATGTGTTACTAATTTGAGAAATATAATGCTTTTTCCCAGTTTAAGTCCACCTAGAGAAAAGACTAATAGCACTTAATCTTATTTTTGACATTGCATCCTTCATTTGCAACATAATGTTTGCATGACTCAGCCAGGCACAAAAATAAATCAGCTTAAGGCACATCTCATCCTTAGGGACACAAGTGGGAGGAGATGTACATGTATGAAATTGCATATTCAGGGAACAAAACTCCTAACACAGGGATGGACCAGGTGGTCCCTTGGTGCAATCTGTGAATAATAATTCCCATAAAATGTAGAGGTTTGTCCAAACAAATGCACTTGTAATTAACGTAAAGAGCAAAAAGAGGGGTTACCAACGACCAGAGTCCATCCACCATCTCCCTGCTTCACTGGGAAGTCTACGAGGGCTTCCTTTGGTTCCTGCTCTTTTTCTCTGTCAGAGTTCTAACACACTATGCAATCTCAATGACAGTGCAATTTAATTTCAAAGCTTGCACAGTCCAGTGAAATAAACATGATGCTTAAACATTTTGTAATAGACTAAGAACAGAGGACTGGTGAAATGTAACCAGTAGTGTACTTAAGACTGTATTAATCTCTCTTGAGTTGTTCTATCAATATTTTATGTATGCACTCTTGGTATGTTGTATATTAATTATTTGGTCAATCTAAACTGCTCCATGAGGGTGTGATCCCACTGATACATCTTTAATGTTGGGGAGGTGTTTTAAACTCACATAGTTGAGAATTTAAGGTGGTACACCCCTTCCCATTTTTCTCACTTATTTTCTATTTTGGTTTGTTGTACTTTGTTTTATACTTTATGTGAAAGTAATACGGAATAAACAGAAGCATTTAATCAATTCGGGTGTCCTGATATTCATGGATTAATGAATGATGTAACAGTGATTGAAATTGACCTTAAAGCATGGACTTTTTTCAGTGAACACGTGAGAATTTGACATAATGGACAGAGAGCATGTTTCATAACACAAAAACCCTGTGTATGGTTGCTGAAAAGGCCAACATTTATTGAGAAAGAAGAAGGCCCACATTCCATGCATTATATATTTACATATTTTAATAATTCACATACCCATAGTGGGGACATTTGCAGTCTCACAGCAGCATATGGGTATAGCAACAACAGGCATAATACAAATACAAATAAATCAGAAACAGGTTTATTGCCAAGTAGGTTTACACATGAGGAATTTGCCTTGGTGTATATGGTGCATACATAAACACAGTTAAAAAAGATACATTGTAAGAAAAACTAACACAAAATAAAACCATTATAAAAAACAATTAAAGAAAAACAATTTAAACATTAAAATATAGAGAAATATTTACATGAAATAGATATATACGGAAAAATAAGTACAGTATAATTTGACAAAATATGCCGAATAATAACATAACATATTTTTAAGTAAACGGTAGAAAGCTTATTAAATAACAGGACACACATGTAATGATTTGGCGACATAGGCCTACAATGTGTAGAAACAGACTTATTGTTGAATTCACTTTATTGCTCATATTACAATTATTTAAATACTCATAATGCATAGTTTATACATTAATTTAAAATAACAAAAGCAAAGCAGTCTGATTGTGTTACATGTTGCAGGTTTTGCAATGTTCTTCTGTATCTTATCAGTTGTTCAAACTCTTCTCACCAATCACAACGCCTAAAGAAACTATTACGTAATGCTTCTTTGCCAAGCAGCGCCGCCCATTTCCTTTTGGAAAAAAGCGGTCAGCTATTTTTTAGCTGACATCTTTGTATTTTTAGCCGTTAGCCCTTGCAGCTAAGTGACTTTTTAAGGTATCTCCCGTGTCAAAGTTTACACACGAATTGCACGAAGTCCACGCTGTGAACACTTGCAGTAACGCGGGCGTTGAAAAGGTAAATGTTGGCCGGCTGAGAGCAGCTTTGTGCTCCTCTGTCTGTGTGCTCCGCTATGGCTGTAATGGCGGCTGCTGCTGCTTCGTCAACTCCTCGCCGCTTTACGAAAAGGGAAGGTGTAGTTAGCTTAATGGCTCCTCGTATCGCTGACGTCTATTGACGCGGTAACTTGCGTGCCAGTGACAGAGTTACATATATTTGCTCATTGAGACAAAAGCTCATCCATCCTGTGCACCAGAGCAACACAACTGTACCCGCTCGCAGATTTAAAACTGTTGTTTTTAGCGGTTTAAACTGGTTAACGTCCGTTTAACTGAACGTTAGCAACCGTTTACTAGCAACAGCAATGTTAGTGAGCATTCTAGAAGTATGATACAAATCATAACTTTACACCCAAGCTGTGGACATGTGTTTGAATAGAAGTCGCCCGGTTAAAAATGTGTTTTAAAAATACAATACATTATTAAGGGTAGAAAGTTAAGAGACTGTCGGGCCTAGCTATGTTTCGTTACTCCATGTTAATGCTAGTTGCATTGGCTAACACGTTTGAACCAAAGAGGAAGTGGATGTTTTGTCTAGCTTAAACTCACCTGTTTGACTTTAGAAATAAATGTAAGCTGAAGTAAGATATTTTCCTTTGATAGCTCTTTCAAATTTAAGGGAAGTGTTTATAAAATTAACAAATATCGCACAGGCCACAGTGGAGTACAGCATGATACAGGCAGGCAGGTTGTTGATATATTAGCGCCATTGTAAAACGGTAATATTGATTTATTTGTTCTCAGTTGCTATGGAGGAAGTACAGCAGGGCAGCAATGGCACTGAGTTACAGACTACCACCATCACAGCCTCTCAGTTCTCACAGTTAGCCCAACAGGTAACTAATACATCCGCTTATAATAACATTACAAATCGTATAATACTGCTTGTATGTGTTGCTACTGTAGCTCTTGCAATGCCAATAACACTACTCTGTTTATAAATGCAATTCAGAAAGCCTACTTTGAAGTTTTAATATTGGCTTTGTATAATAGCTAAATGTTTATTTAACATGTTTTTTGTTTAACTCTTGCTGTGCCTGTTATACAAATGAATGTGTAAAATGCATCCAAAATAACAATGATAATGCACTAAGCAGCTTCAACATAGCTGTTATCTTGTCAGCTTTCATCAGCAAAGTTAGAGAAGTCAGTTCCTGTCTGAGTTCATAGCATCAGATAAGACAGTGTTTTTTGCTTGAATTGCCTCAAGTGTGCTTGAATACTGTACGGTGAATTTAACACATAATTAGGCTTACATTTATTGACAAGACCCATTAAATGATTACTTGGATTCAATAAATAATGAGACGGTTTCTTAACATGTGTTTTTCAGGATAAGTTCACCCAAATTACACATTTTCCTGTAATTACTTGTGGCATTTAGTAATGCAATGTTTTGGTTTGTTGGGATATCAATCTTGGAGACTATTTCCTAAATAGAAAGTAGGTCAGAAGGGAACCATTCAAAGGGAGGTCTGCCGATCATCCAGAGTAACCGGGGCTACATTGAGAGACAAAAGCAAAATTACATTTGTGTTCATTGTCAGTGGTAGATAATTCAATTCTAGGCAAATAAAACCAAAACATCTTAATGCCTTGATGCCACAAGAGGTTACATGTAAAATGTGAGTCTCAGTTATCTTCTGAGATCACTTCTTTGCTTTTATGGATATGTTGTTGCTGTGGTTGAATTGACTTTGGGTTTTTGTAGATGTCCCTTGCCGGTGGTGGTTCTGTGTCCGTTGTACAGCTGCCAGGGGGTCAATTTCAGGTTCAAGGAGTGATCCAGTCGGCACAATCGTCAGTCATTCAGTCCCCTCAGATGCAGAATGCACAGGTGAGACCACCTGGTTTTTTTGTTTGAAAATATATCTTGAATTAATTTCCTTAGTTTCTTTTTTACAAACTGTCAATATGCCATATTACTCTTAAACAAGTTGTTAATCCACCTCCCTCTTTTAAGGCGCTGGATTCAGATAGTGATGATTCACAGGACTCCTCAGACAGTGGAGCTACAGCTCATAAGACCCGAGAAATACTGGCAAGACGGCCGTCATACAGGTAAAATAAAAACACAAAGCACAGACTTTGACACAAAACTGTTGTAAGATGAAAACTAACTCAAGTGAGCCTCCTTCTCTTGCCTTGTAGAAAAATCCTAAATGAACTATCATCGGAGGAAGTGACACACGGTGAGGGAAAGGATAACATCCAGGTCTCCGCGGGGGTTACATTACCCGCCGGCCAAATTTACCAGACCACCTCCGGCCAGTACAGTATGTATTTCTCCTTTTTAATATCACTTGCAATAAATAAAAAAACGTGTTTCCCAAAGTGGGATTAAATGGCCTCTAATTTCATTCATTTTTTAAATGTTTTTTTCTGAAGACCAGAGAAATATTTATAAAAAATACTCATCAATCAACTAGGTGTTTTCGGATGTGTAATTAAGTAGATTATTTGTTTATACACAATTTAGAATCAGTAATATTTTTGTATATCAATTTGACACTGATTAACTTTGTATTGTATAATAATTCTCATGTTACATTTTTTTATTATTGTTTTACACATTCGAAATAAATCAAATCAAAAAATCAAATCAAACTATTCTGCAGTACCAAGACATTTTAACCTAGCTAGTTCAAAGGTGTCTAACTTGTGCTTTACCCAGTTCTGATGCAGTCTTTTTCATTCTTCTAGTTACCATAGCCGCTAATGGCACAATCCAGCTGGCCGGTTCGGGGTCTGAAGGCCTTCAGGGGCTGCAGACTGTCACCATGGCCAATGCTGGCCAACAACAAGGCGCGACCATCCTTCAGTATGCCCAGACATCTGACGGCCAGCAGATCCTGCTGCCTAGCAACCAGGTTGTTGTACAAGGTGAGAAAACATGACATATTTTTTTTTTTAAACGGTATCTAGCTGTTTGGCAAATAGCTATGTAGTTAGCGCAAAAGTTCAAGAAGACTGTCCAAGTAGTGGAGGTTACATTTCTTTAAACTGTGAAAAAAGAGTGATAGTCCATCTAGCGTTCGCACCGCTGTCATTGTTATTAGTTTTTTGGTTCTGAACAGTGAAAGATAAATCAATAACACAACAATAAACGTTTGTAACCTACTTTCATTGGACTAGCCATCACTGGCTGCAATAGAAAAGTCTAAAATGCTAAAGGCGCTACCTCAAGGTGCCTTACTTCCAGCAGGATGCTTTGATTCCAGCATAATAAGCTTCTTTAGAAGGATGTCTTTAGGTAAACTAGTAAATGGCTTTTCAGGCACGCAGGTTTGAAAACCTACTAGGTAAAGTAAATTGAAGGCTAAAATGGCTGACTATTGGGTGCTTTTCCCAAAATATTTCCCCAAGAATTCTTTTGATAAATCATCATGAGTAATGTGGATATAATGACTAGGTGGTTTACGGCAAATTATAGAAGAGAACATTGTGGTAAGTTTAGAAAATGACATCACTTTACATTTTTAATGCAGTCTTTAAAACATGGAAACACAATGTATGCATTACATATAATCAATATCCATAACCCACGGTGATGGTTCATCTAGTATCACAATATTTGTGATTTTCAAGTTAAATTATATATTCTCATAGGTTCTTAATGTATGATTGTTTATGGTTAACAAATTAATGTCTAAACTTCTCAAGTGAGATCTCTCATGTTATGTATCGTTTGTGGCGGAGCTGTTAATGACCCCTGCTGTCATCCTTTGACTGTCATGTTTCCAGGTGCAGGAGGAGAAATGCAAACATACCAGATCCGCACAGCATCCTCCTCCGGCTCCGTGCCCCAGACCGTCGTCATGACCTCTCCTATGGGGCACTCTCAGGGCAAGAGTGACGATCCAACGATGAAGAGGGAAATCAGGCTGGCTAAAAACAGGTTAGCTAACAGGTTAGCTAATTTGATAAATTACAAATATTAACATACCCAGAAAATTGCGATTTCTGATGCTAAAGTTCCTCCATTACTGGAATTGTATGGATATCACAGGCAACTTTTTTGTTGTAAATTTGTAGTGTAAAGCATTAATATTCATCATTTAATGTTGCTATAGTGACAACACTCTACGTTGTGATGTACTCTAGGATAGGCCTGCACCATATAAATCAGGATGATAAATAATTTGACCTATAATGGAAAAGGTACCTTTTACATTATCAGCTGTTAATACAAAGCCAAATTCCTTACACCCTGAGAAAAAGAGGAACAAGCACAGTACACTGACTGTTGAGCGATAAATGTTGTGGAGGTTTTTTCAGTTTACAGGAATCGCAATTTGTAATACAACTTTTCTGATGTACTTTACTAGAGAGAAATATGCTCTCTAAACCCTGAGGTGTTAATAAACTATAGTTTTAAAATAAGTTAAATGCATCCCTACTGTAGGTGCAGTAATTGCATCATTTTTTCAGTTAGACTAATTGCACATTTCTGTCCCTCTTTCAGAGAGGCAGCCCGTGAATGTCGGCGGAAGAAAAAGGAATATGTTAAATGCCTCGAAAACCGCGTTGCTGTTCTTGAAAACCAAAACAAGACCCTGATTGAAGAACTCAAAACATTAAAGGACCTTTATTGTGTTAAAACAGGATAACCTGTCTGAGTAGAGGTTGAGGATTGGGACATAATGTGGGAGCAGCACAGCTCAGACATTTGGACATGAACTGGGTTTCTGGGAACACTTCGATTCAGGCTGACATCCTCCAGTTTTTTTTACTCTGTTTGATATAAAAGTGACTTGTGATGGCAGTAAAATATACTCAAAAACATTTTTTCCCCTGCTGTTTTTTTATATAAAAATTTGCTAATGCTATAACATTTATAGTTGTGTACATTTTTAATATGGGAGGTTTGAAATTGTGAGCTTTAACTTTGAGTCTCAGTTTGTATCCTGCTCCTCTTCTTCTTGTGTTTTTAAAAATGTTGCTGTTGGAGTTTTTTTTATTTTTTAAAATAATCGAACAGCATCTGCAGAATGTTGACTGTATATTTACCACACAGACATAATTTACTGTTTATATTGTGAACCAGCAATTCCCCTCATTTCCCTGTAAGGAGATGTTACAATGGTCATTCCTTATTTTTGTGCAATGGAATATAAAGGGTAACAAAAATAATGACTGAGTGAGGTTTGTTTGGTTGTTTCTGGCAGTTACTTAGACAATCAGGGAAAAAAGCACAGTGTCCAGGTAATATTTATTATGTTCATCTTGGGAGGGGTAGGGAAGGAGAACAAACTGTGTATGAAATGTTGCTGATTCTATGAGTAAATAAATCTATTTTCACTCAATAAATGCAGTTTGACTAGTGTGTTTTTGTACTGTGGAAATTAAAATGGTTAGATTTAAACATCTTCGTAATAATTGCAGACTCAATTTGGACACATCGTTTTCAAATGAATTTGAGTGTAAAAATGTAAATGAAGAATAAGTAGCTTGTAAAATATTCTCCCTATGACCGTGCTGACATTAAAAAAAAAACATGAACCTCAAGCTTGTGTATATGATGCACATAAATCCATTCCTTCCTGCAATCATTTAATGGAGTATCCCATGATATGTGGTCTTATCATCCGTGAAACCTTTGGAGCCTCGATGTGTTTTAAGTGAAGTTCAGAAAAACCAGCTGCCTCTATGTCTCTCCATGTTTTTTTAGTTATCATGCATCCATCTCCAAGATAGTACCACAGGGGCTCAAACACATGCTGGAAGAAAAATGTCCAGGAGGAAGGATCTGACTCAACATGCTCCAGAAAGTAGAAGGCTCCTCCCTGCAAGAAAGAGCCAACACAAACATGTAAAGAGCACCATTAATCAAAACGGGTTCTGCAACTTTGCAATAACAGTGACTGTCATTTTCCAACTGGCTGAGATTGTATCTCAAAGGTTAAACAAAACAAGATAGATGTAATTCCATTGAAATATGATTCTCTTTCAAAGCAGCCTCCCAATATAGAAAATACAGAGCAAATGTGTTAATTTAAAGGTATAATGCAAATATATCAGACAACAGTACTTCCAGGGCCGTCCCTCCCTACAGGGCCTCACATTGCGCAGGGGGCCTCGGCTTATGAGCTCGGCTTGAGCGCAGTTCTCCACGCACCCCCCCCCCAAATTCAGTCAAATGTACAACTTGCGAATGTTGTATAAGTCAAATGTCAAACTTTTGCCAATTGCCATATTAAAACATCAGCTGCAATTCACGACATGAAGAAGGCAGTCTCTGCATAGCATATAGGCTAATGGAGATGCAGTTATTTCCAGCATTCTTTATTTACCATTCATTCAAGTATTTTATGCCTTTTATCTGCTAATGTACAGGAGGAAGAGTGATAAACTGTCTAGTTGGCTTACATAACAGTTAAAGTTTACAGCCTAAAAAACATGGAGCATTTCTTCCCCTTTTATACATTTTTATGTCAATTTGCACATTTCATGGTGATGCTCAGCCTCTCCCCTTAACTCCTAACGGCCCCTCCACACGGCGGCGTGCGTTGACTCTTCAACGCTTCTGTCCATTCACCTTGAATGGGGTGACGTCACGCTTCGCCAAACTGCATTGTGGGAGCGTTGCTCGCGGTGCTCGCTGCAAAAGTTGAGCAATGTTCAACTTTTGAAGCTTCGACGGAGGCGTCAGCCAATCAAATCCCGCTTATGCAAATCTGACAGTACAAGCGCTAGCCAATCAAACCGCGTGTATGCTGGGAGAACCATACCGCAGGTCATTTCCTCATGTTCCAAAAGTGGAGGATAAAATAATAATAGCAATAGGGAATCACCCGGTCCTATACGACCAGTCCCTCTTTATCTACCGGGATACAAACCGGAGGAGCCAGGCATGGAGGGAGGTGGCAGAGACAGTGGTAGGTTTTCGCCTGTTTGGGAAGTTTATATCCTGTTTACTTCTGGCTTTTTTGCTTTGTATGTCGGGGCGGGAGATTCATGTGATTGGTTGTTGGTCGCGTTGCTCGCGAGAAATCCCCAAGCTTCACACACGCCCACCGCCAAGCTTCAACGCACGCCGCCGTGTGGACGGGCCGTAACAGTCATCATGTCAACCACAACACAGAAAAATACTGATAGAAATGTGTGTGTAGTTGTTGATACATTGCTGACAGAGGGAACTACATTTGAATACAGATTTAAGAAATATCAGTTTTTGAGCATGTAATAAGCATGTTTTGTCTTGACTATATTACAACTATATTATAATAAAATAATATAGTATTTATATTATTGAATTGATTATGATTATTATTATTAGTAGAAGTAGTTTATTTGCATTAATTATATTTTAATCTTTTTGAGGCTAGTATTTGGCAGGAAATGCAGACGTATTCACCTGTAAACGCTAACTGAACGACATACATGCACATTTACCATTTACCTCGGTGTATAAAAAAGTAACTGTGTTGATAATAATAATAAACAGGAATTATATTTGCAAAGTACTTTGTCTCCAAAAAAAAATTGTTCACTCCTGTCAGTTGGGGGGGGGGGGCTCATCTCACAATGTCGCTTGGGGCCCCAAATTGGCCAGGGACAGCCCTGAGTACTTCATCTGCAAGGATTGACAAGTGACCCCACACCAGTGTTGGAAAATAACAGTTTTGTCCACTTGCCACTGGCTTGTGGATTTCAAGATCTTCCAGTTACTCAATAAGAACCAACTTTGTTTGGCTAGTGTAGTGAGTGAAGCAAATCAAGCAGCCACCAACACATTTCAATTTACCTAATTTCCAATCCTGCCCAGAACCTCACAGTAGCCTTTTTCTTTGAGATTAGCACTGTCACAAAATCTAGTTTCTAGTTACACCAAGAAATCTTCGGAACTGGAGGTATTCTTCCAGCTTCAAATGTGCAGTCTGTAGTTTGTGCACTGCATATGATAGAAACTTGGAGGTATTACGAGTACACAATAAACACAGTGGACAGTTTGGGTGGTTCCCCATGCCCCCATAAAAGGTTAATAACCAAGCCATGTAGACCTACCACTATAAATGTGCGTGAAGTCACTAGGAAAATATTTCCTACAGCACGTGAAGGCAGCACACTCACAGGTTTGAGGATGCGTCGCACTTCCTGCAGCACTTCCTGCACGTTTCTGACCGAGCAGAGGACCAGGGTGCAGACCACCACGTCCACCGACCCGTTCTCCACCTTCTCCATGTCCTCCCCAGAGACGACCATAAACGTTTCATAGGTCAAATGCTTGTTCGCCTCCATGCTCATCCGCAGGTACTTCTCGAAGTGCGGGTTGGGGTCGGTGCAGATCACCGTGCAGCCGTACGGGTAAAACCTGAAGTTTGCCCCGCTGCCGCAACCGATCTCCAGCAAACGAAGAGTACCATCGGGGTTTGCAAATTTGCCCACGTTCCGAAAAAGATCCCTTTTCGTTTTGTGCATTTTGTCGTTGTATGAAAATGTTATATTGTAGGCGAGCAACGGAAACAAGCGTTTGTACATGCCGTACAGGCCTGTGATCTCCATTAGATGTAAAGGCAAAGTCAAAATTAAACAAATAAATCGGCATGATTTAATGAGACAAGACCCCATTTTATTCAGTTGGAAAAGGGCTTGCTGGAGGCCAGGCGATTTAAAAGATCAGGATTACACTAATACCTGTGAGATCATGTATGTCCTGCATTTAACCACAGGATGGCGCAATTCCAGATTGTGTACTTTCCTGTCCATATAGTACTCGTCTAATAAGTAAAACACCAATCATGCAGCAAAAAGTCTTTAATAAGACAACACAATCAGCTTAACAGCAAAAATACATGTTTTTAGTGACACACCTGTCATGTCATAAATGGCACCAATGAATCCAGCAGTAGCACACAAACAGATTCAGAACACACATTGTCCTATGGTGGCATCTTATCGATATCGATGTAACAGCATAGCCAGGGCCGTCCCTGGCCAACTTGGGGCTCCAAGCGACATCGTGAGATGAGGCCCCCCCCCACCCCCACCGACAGGAGTGAAAGAAATGTTGGGAAACAAAGTACTTTGCAAATATAATTCCTGTTTATTATTATTGTCAACACAGTTACTTTTTTATACAGTGAGGTAAATGGTAAATGTGCATGTATGTCGTTCAGTATGCGTTTACAGGTGAATACGTCGGCATTTCCTGGATGCAAAGTCATTAACAAGGTCATTGTATGACAGCTGCTGTGCCAACTGTGCGTTGATGCTTATGATAGCCAGGCCACTTAAGCGTTCTTATGCCATTGACGACCGGAGGCACGTCTTCATAAGCTTCAGTTTGGAAAAGCTTCTCTCAGCAGACGCAACTGTAACCCCTAGATTCCACCGGGTCCGTCTGCGCCGCGTTGCGGTTTTGGTCCGGCCTCCTCCGGCGTCATACCCTACCAGGCGCGTTTCAGAAGCATTTCAGAAGCGGAGCATCTTGCCTGCCGGCTCGCAGTTTTTGTTGATTTGGGCATATTTCCTGGACAGGCTACTTTGTACAGACAAAGTTAATAATAACTAATATTCCAGTTATAAACGACATGAATCAAAGATGTGTTGCTGTATTTTAGTGGTAAAAAAATGCATTCATCATCATAATTATTCTATATATATAATTTACACAGTGCCTGTAAAACGGAGGAGAACGCTGGCATTTCTCCTCCTACTTGAAAGACTACGGAGGGATAGGGTCTGCAAAATTAGTTTGTGTGTGTGTATATATCTATATATATATATATGCTATATATGCTCTGAACGTTCCACTTCCTGCCTGCCCGACCTTACGTTACGGCTGCGCCGCGACAAAAATAGGATTCGATCCTAATTTTAGAGGAGCCCTGCGCCGAGCCGCTTCTGGGACGCTTCTGAGCCGTAACGCGCCGCGTGTGGTGGAATAGCACCCATTGACTAGAGTGGCCGCGATCGCCGTGAGCACCGCGGCGCAGCCGTAACGCGCCCGTAACGCGCCGCAGACGGACCCGGTGGAATCTAGGGGTTACAGGAAGAGTTACTGCAATGCGGAGGGCAATCCAGAGATTTGGGTACAGTTCCTGTAACTCACTTTTGTGGAGAAATTACAACATCTCCAGAATATTTATTATTGTATGAGAGAGGTTCTAGGTTGAATTGAGGCAAATATTTGTAATGTTCAGAGGTTGTTGTGGTTAATATTCATGAGAATATTTGTCATTGTTCAAATGATAATAAACAAACATATAAAGCATATTTGTCCACTCATATGTTGATAAGGAGTATTAAAAACTTGAAAAATATCCCTCGAAGGTACATTTAGAACAGATAAAAAATGTGCGATTAATCGCGATTAACTATGGACAATCATGCGTTTAATCGCGATTAAATATTTTAATCGACTGACAGCCCTAGTATTAAAGTGATTGGCATTATCTCCATCACTGATGATCTATCATATCATAAAAGAGAGATATTTAGCGCTTGACTATATATTCATGTGTAATGCAGAACTAATGACAGCATTTATTTCACAGCGTAACCGATGATGTGAGGCTTGATAAGGAACAGGAGTGGTGCTTCCACATGTTTCAGCTTGAGGTCGGAGAATCCAGCTGCCTCCAGAGGTTTCCACGTGTCCCGGACGATCTCACATCCATCCCCAAAGTAGTACCAAGGGGGCTGCAGAACATGCTGGAAGAAGTAGGTCCAGCTGGAGGGCTCTCCAACAACATGCTCCATGAAAAATAAGCCTCCACCCTGCAAAGCAAATATTTGTTATTTCCACACTGTGTACTTTATGGAACTGAAATATTGTGCAAGTTTATCTAAACTAAAACTATTATTTAGAAACCAAATCCTGAATGGTTATGAGCAGGACCTGTGAACTCTACTTGTTATTTCTTGTCAAAGTTATTTATTTTTTACGGAGCCCTGGAGGGTTCATAGAGAGAAAAATAAATAAAACGAGGCCACGTTTTATTAATTTGTGCGCACGAGATGTAATTCGTGGCCTCAATTTAATAAAACGAGACCATGCTTTATTAATTTGTGCGCATGATATACTTTCTCGTTCGCACGAGATACTTTCTCGTTCGCACGACTATATATATACTTTCTTATGGTAAAACACATCGAACTGCCCGATTATTACACCATATTATTAGTTTTATGAAGAATATGTCCGGTCGCCAGGGCGTGTGTGTGTGGGCATTTGTTTATGATAGTGTCGTTCGTTCCGGTGCACTCCGGCAGGACTATAGCACTACATCGAGATTAAGATTAAATGAATTTCTTTCACTTGGGAATACACATATAACTATGGAGAACCAGATGTGTGTAAATGACTGTTCATGGTAATTTGAAAACAAATGCCGGTGTCGGACACACACAAACACACCGAACACACACACACACACACACACAGAGCGGAGCTGAGCACAATGCTGTAACCAGATGAGTGATTACAGCGCCAGGTATCATTTTACACACATTTGTATCAAACAGATGCAGGACTAACCCCTAGATTCCACACAAACACACCAAATACACACACAGAGCGGAGCTGAGCACAAAGACACACACATCATGCGCCCTGGTGACCGGACATCTCCTTCATAAAACGAGTAATAGGGGGAATAATCGGGCAGTTCGATGTGTGTAGAGGTGTGTGTGGTTAAACGTAGCAGCCTCGATCTCTATTCAGCTGTTCTAATGAAGGGAAACACAGTGAAGTGAACAGTAAAAGGCACAGCTCTTTGCAGCTGGTGCTGCTCTTCTCAGATTCTGCTGAGTTACACGTTACTGCCTCCAGTGCCCTGTACGACGAAGCCAGTTCAACAGACCCTGGATATGTTTGAGTTACCCGGCTTAACTAACCCTAACAAACGCAATCTCGCCAAGCGGTCCTACGAAGCTGGTTATCAACTCCGTAAATCAACCAGGGTTTCTCTGTCCGGCTGAGAGCGCGTTCACGTGAAAGGGACGGGGCCAAAATGTCCCTAAATGAAGTCTGAGTTTGAAATATATCTCAAATAATGTATGCACTGCCATTTCTCCACATAAATATAACAGTCTGCAATGAAACGGTTGTCTCTGTGCTCCACGTCCTACTTGGCGCACCGGTAACTTTCTTGTGCGAACGAGAAACTAACGAAATACTTTCTCGTTCGCACGAAATACTTTCTCGTTCACACAAAATACTATCTTGTGCGCACAAAATAGTATTTTGTGCGAACAAGATACTTTTTTTTTTCTCCATGAACCTTTAGGGGCTCCGTAATTTTTGGTTGTTTTGTACAAAAAAAAGTATTTGTTTAAAACAATGAATCCAATATCACGGATGCTGATGACGAAGACCTAATCTTTTATTTTCAGAAAAGTGTACGAAAAGTTTTTTAGCTTCTTCTTGCCCCTGTTGAACATGACAGAGACTATTTGAGAATGTATTTGTTTTTTTGTACCTTGAACGTTTTTCCTTTTTTTTGCTTCTCTTTGTTATAATTATTATTATGATTTTGTTTGTTTTGTTTCTGACATGTTCAATAAATTGACTAATATATATAATATAATATATGGAGGTTGCCGGTGCATTACTGGTGCATTTTCCTAAATGCATGTTTAAAGAAGAAATCTGATTTTATAAACACATTGGAAATACAAGCAATATTTTCAGCCATCCAGTCTTAAAGACCATATGTGGCCTCCCCCTGCATTATAGCACACACATGTTTTGTGTATTTACAGAAAAATTATCAAGTAAGCACTAAATGATATAAAACCATGAGTGCATCCATATATCATGTTTGTGTATAATGTGCTGATACATGTGGTTCACTTATGTCCCCTAGAAATAGTTCATGTTTTATAATGAATGCTTTTTTGTTAAATAGTTTTGCCTCAGGCTTATATCTGAGGAGAATTAAGTGAAATTAAATTACAACACAGGCTTAATATTTATATTAAACTTGACATTCTGGATTGAACTACTGAGTTTCAATATATATAAAGTAAAAAGATAAGGGCACCATTTATGTCACCATACAGGTCAAAGGTATCAAGAAGCAATAGTGCAGGTAGGTTAAAGGTTGTGATAAATTAATTGGTAACAACCTAAGGAATTAAACAATCTTAATTTGGCTAGTAGGCTACATGTGTTAGGGATCATTTTTGCTACTCTTCATTTTTGTGTATCCATGTGTTAAAACAAATATATAAATAATGTAGACTTCTTTGCTTGTTTGTTTAGTGAGCACGTTTTTAAACTCCACTGGTGAAGGATTAATCCCAATATATACAGTCTATGATTAATCCAGTAGTTATGCAGCATTAGAACAGTAGCCTCAATAGAAATACAGGCCTTGACTTTGGATGGGAGTGAATTTACTTTGGACTTGTTCTTATTTCAGGAGTCAGGGTCTTACCGGTCTCAGCATGCGCCGTGTCTCCTGCAGGGTTTTCGGGATGTTGTTGACACTGCAGAGTACTAGGGTGCACACAACAACGTCTACCGACTCGCTCTCAATAGCCCCCATGTCCTCCCCCGACGCCACCACAAATCTGTCAAACGTGATGTGGTCATTCCCTTCCACGCTGCTCTTCAGGTATTTCTTGAAATGAGGGTTGGGGTCAGTGCAGATCACCTTGCATCCGGGTGGATAAAACTGAAAATTGGTGCCAGTTCCACAGCCGATCTCCAAAATAGTGAGCTGCTTGCCATGCCTGTTGAACTCGGGTAGACTGCGAAACAGCTCCTTCTTCTTGTCGTGCATTTTGTTGTTGTATATTATTGAACATCGGTACCAACAAATAGGGAAGACACGTTTGTATATTTCATACATGCCGAGTGCTTTGATCAGATGAAGAGGCAAGCATAAAACATTGAAGATTAAAGTGCAAAATGCCATAATGAGAGCCATTTTTCCGCTCTAGACCCTGTGGCGACCAAGTCCGTCAACAACAGCAAACTAGTGATGTGTCGGTCGCGAACGAGCCGGTGTAGGTACCATATGTGTTCGGCCTACCATATGGACCATATGTGTTCGGGGTCCGTTACGCTTACCAATGACGTCACGCATTGGCTGTACGCTAACCCAAGAGGACATTTTACACGGTCAAATTCCGAATGTATTGAAACTCCAGACTCAACGTAAGAGCTTGAGCCTCTTCGGGGGGTGCTAACATTTAAACATACACTTCATTCTTTACTTTGTCCGTTATTATATGTAGAAGATATTACTTTTTTCTCCGTCATGTTGTTTCCATAGCAACAACTTCAAAATAAATAAATCTAAATAGATGTGTGTTCTACACACCAAAATACGTTATTTGAACACTCCTCTCGATCGATTTACAAAAAAGAAATAGTATGGCCCGCCCTAATACACCAACGCAGTTTTTAAAGATATACATTTTTCAACACAGAATCATTTACCAAATTACACTATATCCAATCATTTTACGAGTCAGAAAATGCTATATGTTCATTGCAGTTATTGTTTATTGAATTAGATTACCATGAGCTCAACATAATTATGTAGAGTACAAGTCCACAGCCAAGAAAATGTTATTTGCATATCATTTTATTTATGAATATGGAATTATGGAATTCTAACACTGGAGTTTGTTATTATTTACTATAACTTTATTATAGTATTCGGGTACAGCCCTGTACCCGTATATCCGAATATCCGTTCGTTGGAGTACTATTTCGGGTTTCATTCGTTATTCGGATATTCGTTTTGTTTGTTTTTTCCCCGTTTTTTTTCAAATTGAATTGATTGAAATCTCCAATATCAACGTAAGAGCTTGTGCCTCTTCGGGGGGTGCTAACACTTAACCATAAACGTTATCGTTTACTTTCTCCGTCTTTATATGTAGATATTACTTTTCTCCGTTAATCTCTGTCACGTTGTTTCCAAAGCAACAACAACTTCCTGTCAACTGCGCTAACTCTCCTTCAAAATAAAAGCATGTCCATAAATAGGAAACCAAGCCAAATTACACTTAAGACGTATACAACTGCAACGAAAGTAACAAACACAATGCGATATCCTTTTCAATTTCAAAGAACACAAATTGGGTTACATTAACAAATAACTATAAAACAACAATACTGTAGAATAACAAAATGAATGCCGTGAATACACCGAAATACACGCGTTGAAGCAGTTCGCTGCCGATTACTACGCCCCCCCGCATTACTACCGAATATCCGGAGCCCGAAAAATGGTATTCGGGACAGCCCTAGATCATTCTGCTTCAGTTTGTGGGCTACAGCCAGTTTATGGTAGCAGCACGTTAACAGCTTCATCCTTTAATCAGACCCCCGTATACCCTCGTCAGCGCCCCTAGTTACACCAATCAGCGTGCGATTACCGTACAGCCAATCACAATGCGTGACGTCATTGGTAAGCGACGGACCCCGAACACATATGGTAGGCCGAACCATGCCCGGCGCCGTGGGAGGGCCAGGCCCTCCCATTTGACATTCCTGCCCTCCCCAATAAACAAGTTTTTTATTATTTATCAATTTTTTTTTTTTTAAAGATTTTTTTTTTTTTAATTATAAATAAACTGTGAACTTTTATGCTACGATGTATGTGATGTCAGATAGTAACTACAAAAAAAAATCGCAGGCTACGTCAAATAAATTCATGTGTCTGTTGTGATTTGTGATTCGTCCACATTTAGACCAATCACAGCGTCACACTCTGCCGCCTATTCTGGATTTGTTTATTGTTTATTGTGCATTCTGTAGACTCCCATTTCTGTTTGAATTACAAAATGGACATCAGAAATTGGCTTAAAAGGTCTAAGGATTTATTAAAACGAAATAGCGATGAAAGAACTGCAGCCGATGGTGCTGCTGGCGACCCTGCACCTGCCGTTGCAGGCCGACATGGAAACGCAGAAAACGATAACGATAACGGGTCCCGAGGTGGGTAGATCTGCGAACGAAACGCTCTGGGGGGCAAACGGCTCCGTGATTACGCCTATACGATCATTTCCTGATAACGTTGAAGCAATAGCCCCGCCTCTCCCACCTCTCCTGCTCAGAGATCAGCTGCTGGGCTGTCAGAAGAGGGGGAGGAAAAGAGAGGCTCCGTTTTTTATTCTTATATAGAGTCGTTATCAATTTGTTTTAAAGCTCAATAAATAACAAAGAAGACCTCTGACCGGAAGATTTCAACTTTAACGGACATGTTGACCGGCGAAAAAAAATCGAACTGAAACTCTGCCGCACGGTTCCCTCGTCCCTTGGAAGAGGTGGAGAGGTGGGTGTTTTTCATCTGCTGGTGGACTACCGGAGAGATTTACAGCAGGAGCACACGCTTGCCTCGGGGAGGGAGAAAAAGAGCCAGAGCGTCCACAGCGGAGAATAAACAGAAGGGCAACCATGGCAACCATGCGCGGGAAGTCTTCTTGGCTGCTTTTGTGGCAGGAGTACAGCGCCACTTACAGGCCCGGCATATGTACTACAGCGTCTCCAGCGCTTTCGAGCGGTCTCGTGTGAACGGACACGTTTCTGGTGCCTGTTGCGTGTGGACGGAATACTTTTTTGATATCGATTTCGGTCCGTTTGCGTTCTCGTCCTCGTGTGGCTCCAGCCTTAGGGCCTCATATACAGTATAGCCCTTAAGGTCAAATCATGTGATCACCTCATCTCACAATGTCAAATGGGGCCCCAAGTTGGCCAGGGACGGCCCTGCTCCATCATCTTGGCAGGTGGATTTGACGAAGGGGAGGAGGTGAAGAGCATCTGCACAGCAAATTTGCCCACGTTCCGAAAAAGATCCCTTTTCGTTTTGTGCATTTTGTCGTTGTATGAAAATGTTATATTGTAGGCGAGCAACGGAAACAAGCGTTTGTACATGCCGTACAGGCCTGTGATCTCCATTAGATGTAAAGGCAAAGTCAAAATTAAACAAATAAATCGGCATGATTTAATGAGACATGCTTGCTGGAGGCCAGGCGACTTACAAGATCAGGATTACACTAATACCTGTGAGATAATGTATGTCCCGCATTTAACCACAGAATGGCGCAATTCCAGATTTTGGACTTTCCTGTCCATATAGTACTCGTCTAATAAGTAAAACACCAATCATGCAGCAGAAAGTCTTTAATAAGACAACACAATCAGCTTAACAGCAAAAATACATGTTTTTAGTGACACACCTGTCATGTCATAAATGGCACCAATAGCCGCGTTCACACCGGAGTACTTTTCACCGTACTTTTCACGTTTAGTTCCGTTAGTACCCCTTATGTCGCGTTCACACCAAAAAGAGCACTTAATCTCGGGAACTTTTACCCCCATTTTTAGTGCCTGCTGAGAGATGGTACTTTCCTGGGGGAAAAAAGTGCCCCAGTTCTGATTGGCTGGGCGAATTGCAAACCACGCCCCGTACAACTCTGAAATGTTTTGTAGAGCCGCCATTTTATTATCCTCGCATTAGCATTAGCATTCGCCCAGCGCACAAACGCAGAGAGACTAACTTATGGCAACACAAAATAAAACATGGGAGAGGTGGAGATGAGGAGGTGTCGGCGTTCTGGCGATTTACTCTGAAGGCTTCAGTAGAAGCTGCTGGGACTCCCAGCAGCTTCTACTGAAGCCAGTCCCCAACTCCGGGGACTCCAGGTGGCAGTATACGCCGTGAAGTTGTTTGCGGCCTGCCAGTAAACCCAAAGCAGAAGAAGACGAAGTGACGTCAGCGGCTCATTTGCATTATCTTCCCTCAGGGAATTTATTCCGGTGTGAACGCGATCTGTACTAAATGCCCTGGGGTAATAAGTGCTGGGGCACTGAGTGCCGGCACTAAATACGGCAAAGTACTTGGTGTGAACACGCTGAATCCAGCAGTAGCACACAAACAGATTCAGAACACACATTGTCTTATGGTGGCATCTTATCGATGTAACAGCATAGCATCTTGGAAATGGGAAGTGACATATAGAAGATTAAACATTTAAAATATTCATTTTGTATTGAATGCTATCTATGCAATGTTTTTATTCAATGTGTTAATTTAATGTGTCTTTACAAAACACAAACACTGAAGGTTTTTTTTAAATACAAAAATAAAATTAGTATTAAAGTGATTGGCATTATCTCCATCACTGATGATCTATCATATCATAAAAGAGAGAGGGGGGGGGTATTAAGCGCTTGACTATATATTTATGTGTAATGCAGAACTAATGACAGCATTTATTTCACAGCGTAACCGATGATGTGAGGCTTGATAAGGAACAGGAGTGGTGCTTCCACATGTTTCAGCTTGAGGTCGGAGAATCCAGCTGCCTCCAGAGGTTTCCACGTGTCCCGGACGATCTCACATCCATCCCCAAAGTAGTACCAAGGGGGCTGCAGAACATGCTGGAAGAAGTAGGTCCAGCTGGAGGGCTCTCCAACAACATGCTCCATGAAAAAGAAGCCTCCACCCTGCAATGCAAATATTTGCTATTTCTACACTGTGTACTTTATGGAACTGAAATATTGTGCAAGTTTATCTAAACTAAAACTATTATTTAGAAACCAAATCCTGAATGGTTATGAGCAGGACCTGTGAACTCATACTTGTTATTTCTTGTCAAAGTTATTTATTTTTTATGGAGCCCTTCATAGAGAGAAAAATAAATAAAACGAGGCCACGCTTTATTAATTTGTGCGCACGAGATGTAATTCGTGGCCTCAATTTAAATAAAACGAGGCCACGCTTTATTAATTTGTGCGCACGATATACTTTCTTGTTCGCACAAGATACTTTCTCGTGCGCACAAGATACTTTCTTGTGCGCACGATATACTTTCTCGTTCGCACAAGATACTTTCTTATGGTAAAACACATCGAACTGCCCGATTATTACACCATATTATTAGTTTTATGAAGAATATGTCCGGTCGCCAGGGCGTGTGTGTGTGGGCATTTGTTTATGATAGTGTCGTTCGTTCCGGTGCACTCCGGCAGGACTATAGCACTACATCGAGATTAAGATTAAATGAATTTCTTTCACTTGGGAATACACATATAACTATGGAGAACCAGATGTGTGTAAATGACTGTTCATGGTAATTTGAAAACAAATGCCGGTGTCGGACACACACAAACACACCGAACACACACACACACACACACAGAGCGGAGCTGAGCACAACGCTGTAACCAGATGAGTGATTACAGCGCCAGGTATCATTTTACACACATTTGTATACAGATGCAGGACTAACCCCTAGATTCCACCGGGTCCGTCTGCGGCGCGTTACGGGCGCGTTACGGCTGCGCCGCGGTGCTCACGGCGATCGCGGCCACTCTAGTCAATGGGTGCTATTCCACCACACGCGGCGCGTTACGGCTCAGAAGCGTCCCAGAAGCGGCTCGGCGCAGGGCTCCTCTAAAATTAGGATCGAATCCTATTTTTATCGCGGCGCAGCCGTAACGTAAGGTCGGGCAGGCAGGAAGTGGAACGTTCAGAGCTATATAGACCTATATATACACACACACTAATTTTGCAGACCCTATCCCTCCGTAGTCTTTCAAGTAGGAGGAGAAATGCCAGCGTTCTCCTCCGGTTTACAGGCACTGTGTAAATTATATATATATATAGAATAATTATGATGATGAATGCATTTTTTTACCACTAAAATACAGCAACACATCTGTGATTCATGTCGTTTATAACTGGAATATTACAGTTATTATTAACTTTGTCTGTACAAAGTAGCCTGTCCAGGAAATATGCCCAAATCAACAAAAACTGCAAGCCGGCAGGCAAGACGCTCCGCTTCTGAAATGCTTCTGAAATGCGCCTGGTAGGGTATGACGCCGGAGGAGGCCGGACCAAAACCGCAACGCGGCGCAGACGGACCCGGTGGTTACACACGCCTGCTTTCTAACCGACATCCCATTGCTTTTTTGTCGAGGGAACGCGAGCGCAGCTTACTTCCGGGTTTTAGGACGCGTCACTGCACCACTAAGTTGATGCGATTTGATTGGATTGTGAGGCAAGGGAAGCCAGCCGCCTCTGGCTTCCCTTGGCATGGCTCTGACTAATCACAGGTTGGCAGAGGCATGACGTGAGCCTTGTCTGATTGGTCAATCCCTCCATTTTTTTTCACCAAGGGAAGCCAATTTCGTCTGGCCTCCTCTCGCAACAGAGAGTGCAATCTACTGTTTTACCATAACATCTAGAGGGGCGCTGTTTCACTCTTTGTAAAATACTCAATGAGAATGGGGGAGAGACGGGCTGGCAGCAACACACAGCAAAGAAGAATTTCCGAAACTAAACAAAGTGTTTTTATTTATTTATTAAAATTATAACTACAATCCGAAAAAACAGGGGAAGCCTGGCTTCCCTTGGCCTCCAGGAGAAAACGCCACTGGTTTACAGACTCTTCTGTTTTGCGAATCCGGTGCTTAAACAAATAGCTCTAAACCCCTGGCCAAAATGTCCCTAAATGAAGTCTGAGTTTGAAGTATATCTCAAATAATGTATGCACTGCCATTTCTCCACATAAACATAACAGTCTGCAATGAAACGGTTGTCTCCTCTGTGCTCCACTTCCTACTTGGCGCACTACTTGTAACTTTCTCGTGCGAACGAGAAACGAACGAAATACTTTATCGTTCGCACGAAATACTATCTCGTGCGCACAAAATAGTTTTTTTTTTCTCCATGAACCTTTAGGGGCTCCGTAATTTTTGGTTGTTTTGTACAAAAAAAAGTATTTGTTTAAAACAATGAATCCAATATCACGGATGCTGATGACGAAGACCTAATCTTTTATTTTCAAGAAAAATGTACGAAAAGTTTTTTAGCTTCTTGCCCCTGTTGAACATGACAGAGACTATTTGAGAATGTATTTGTTTTTTTGTACCTTGAACGTTTTTCCTCTTGTTCCTAATATATATAATATAATATAATATAATATATGGGGGTTGCCGGTGCATTACTGGTGCATTTTCCTAAATGCATGTTTAAAGAAGAAATCTGATTTTATAAACACATTGGAAATACAAGCAATATTTTCAGCCATCCAGTCTTAAAGACCATATGTGGCCTCCCCCTGCATTATAGCACACACATGTTTTGTGTATTTACAGAAAAAATTATCAAGTAAGCACTAAATGATATAAAACCATGAGTGCATCCATATATCATTTTTGTGTATAATGTACATGTGGTTCACTTATGTCCCCTAGAAATAGTTCATGTTTTATAATGAATGCTTTTTTGTTAAATTGTTTTGCCTCTGAGGAGAATTAAGTGAAATTAAATTACAACACAGGCTTAATATTTATATTAAACTTGACATTCTGGATTGAACTACTGAATTTCAATATATATAAAGTAAAAAGATAAGGGCACCATTTATGTCACCATACAGGTCAAAGGTATCAAGAAGCAATAGTGCAGGTAGGTTAAAGGTTGTGATAAATTAATTGGTAACAACCTAAGGAATTAAACAATCTTAATTTGGCTAGTAGGCTACATGTGTTAGGGATCATTTTTGCGTATCCATGTGTTAAAACAAATATATAAATAATGTAGACTTCTTTGCTTGTTGTTTGTTTAGTGAGCAAGTTTTTAATCTCCACTGGTGAATGATTAATCCAGTAGTTACGCAGCATTAGAACAGTAGCCTCAATAGAAATACAGGCCTTGACTTTCGATGGGAGTGAATTTACTTTGGACTTGTTCTTATTTCAGGAGTCAGGGTCTTACCGGTCTCAGCATGCGCCGTGTCTCCTGCAGGGTTTTCGGGATGTTGTTGACACTGCAGAGCACTAGGGTGCACACAACAACGTCTACCGACTCGCTCTCAATAGCCCCCATGTCCTCCCCCGACGCCACCACAAATCTGTCAAACGTGATGTGGTCATTCCCTTCCATGCTGCTCTTCAGGTATTTCTTGAAATGAGGGTTGGGGTCAGTGCAGATCACCTTGCATCCGGGTGGATAAAACTGAAAATTGGTGCCAGTTCCACAGCCGATCTCCAAAATAGTGAGCTGCTTGCCATGCCTGTTGAACTCGGGTAGACTGCGAAACAGCTCCTTCTTCTTGTCGTGCATTTTGTTGTTGTATATTATTGAACATCGGTACAAACAAATAGGGAAGACACGTTTGTATATTTCATACATGCCGAGTGCTTTGATCAGATGAAGAGGCAAGCATAAAACATTGAAGATTAAAGTGCAAAATGCCATTATGAGAGCCATTTTTCCGCTCTAGACCCTGTAGCGACCAAGTGACCAAGCGACCAACAACAGCAAACTGTCCACAGAACTTGCTGCTGTCTTTATGCATTCGAAACAGGAAGCTCTGAAACCATTTCAAAATAAAAGCCGGCAAAAATCCACCCTAACGCAACGTACTGGTGTGAAATAAGTTTGTCCCTCAATGCTGTTACATAAGTCAACGAATTAACCCTATCCCATGATTATCTATTTGCTACGCATGTGTTATGTTTGAAAACTGTTAAATGTGTCACCATTGAAGTACATTTTAACATTTACCTGAGTGAATTCAAACGGCCGGAATATAGATAGATAGATAGATAGATAGTACTTTATTGAACCCAAATTGGGAAATCGTTGTTGTTACAGCAGCATAAAAGGCATTTTACAATAAAACAAAATATACAAGAATAGAAAGAAAAATAAAATAAAATATAAAATATACATGTTGAAATAGAAAATAGAAAATATACATGCAGATATTATATATACAAATATATATATATATATATTCAAAAGATATGAATATGGATCTTATACAACCATGAATAGGACATGCAAACTTTTAACGTTCGCCATTCAAGCTAGCGGTGAGTGACGTTACGTTACTAGACAGAAACAAATGTTTGATGTATTTTAGAATAATTGCTATATATTTAATTAACTATTAGTTCCATAGCTAACCATTGGTTTTAACTAAGCTAACTTTAGCTGCCTGAATTTAACACAAATGTAACGTTAGGCTATATTAGCTTAGCATTACACATTACATTGATAAACACTTGGGTCTTGTCCAGTTTTTTGTTTTTTTTAAACAGTAGCCTACATCATCAGGTCAAGTCATCAATGTTTAAGCTGCATTGATTAATGTAGTTTGTGTCACTTGTAAAATAAATCCCCAACAAGCTGGCAAACAACTACTCTGATAATTATTTAACATAGGTTAGGTGTTACAGCTAGCAAATTGACGGCCCTTAGCTTACTTACTTGTTGGTTCTATCTGAATAGTAAATGTTAAAGAGTTGGTCCCTGACTTCTGCCATAACCTTAACTTCAGTTTAGCTGAAAACAGAGCATGCTGCTGCTGCTGCTAGAATTCGGGTTGATGAGAGCTGTGTCAAACTGTACATTATCAACTACTGGTGTTGGGCTAAAACATAGAGATAAAACCTTTTATATATTCAGTTACAGTCTATAGAAAATACACATTAAAAAGGCAGAATTTGAAACATTTGGTGACACTTCTTGGTAAACTTCACAGATTACCTCTAGTCGTTATACCATAAAATACAGTTGAGGGCGTCCATCCATAATTGGTCAAGAAAGTGAGCAAATAGTGAAATGTATTGACTGTTCAAGTCAGTCACCTGAGTCCAGCTGAGATTTAGTTTAACTGCTTAAGACAACACAGCAATACGCCATTCAACAAATGTAAAGGGAAGCTGACTATCCATAAATATTGACACCTTTAAATTAAAGCTTAAAGGTGGGGTATGTAATTTATTTCAGAAACACTTTTTGTTATATTCCATGTAATGCTCTTAACATCCCGATAGCAATGAATATATTAAATGCTTTGACAATAGATACATAAAAAAATGTCATCTGTGGAAGCCGTAGCGCTGTTAAAAGCACGACCAATCATTTTAGCCAGCCCGGCGAAAATAACCGGATGGCCTACCTGCCTGTCAGCCTTCCATCTGTGCACAAACTTATCTCGTGCCCTCATTGGTCATGTGCGCGTTCGTGTGTGTTGGAGGAGGGGCTCTGTAAGGAAGTGGCAGATTTTTTCCGATTGTGTATTTTCAAATTCTAGCGCACTCGAGCTGGTTTCTCCAAAATTACCTACCCCACCTTTAAGTTCTCTATAAGTAATTAATTGCATATGTATTATTTAGGGATTGCCTTCCCATGGCTCTAAATATGGCAATAACTAAAGGGGCACCTAGCAGCTAATGGCGCGTTTCCACTACAGCGCGGAGCCCCGTTTAAGAGAGCTGTGACGTCAGCGGCCCGTCTTTGGTTGCGTTTCCACTTGGCCTAGTACCGGCTAGCGGGTCCTAATTCACAGTTTTTCTGGCCCCATAAAATCGTGGTTCTAGGGCCAGGAACAACCAGGCTGAGTCGGGCTGAGTATGCTAAACTAGAGAGAGAATCGCTGGCAAGGGGGCTACAACTACAACAAGATGGACATATTTGACCATGATTTAATTGTAATACACGTTTCAAAATGATGCCGAAGTAACAACATACTAATACCGGTTAGTAAAAACCATGAATTAATGCTTTGACAAGTCTGCAGACAGACGGCAGGCGAAAAACCTTTTAAAATGTGTGTTTTCTAAATGGAGATTGGCTAAGCTAACGCAGTATATGCTCCGACCGTCCACACTCACAACAACGGCCTATACAGACATAAATAAACCAGCGACTGTATTCGCCATGACACAGACAGTCTGTGGTTTGTACTTGTTTAACTTTTGTCTAGTTTCTGAACATATATGAGGAGCTGTGAGCTCTGAGTGCTAACAGCTAACGGCTGTGTTGTTTTTCTGGGGTTCTCATTGAAGATGACGTCACGGCTCCGCCTACACTGCGTTACTATAGATACTACCCCAGTTCCTAAACCGTAATGGAAATGCGCCATAAAGTGAGCCAGTCCTAACGAGGCCTAGCCATACCGAGCGAGGCCGAGCGAGGCCGTGTAGTGGAAATGCGCCATTACAGTGCTAAAACAATACAAACAACGGCAACAGTGCTGACCGAGCTAACAGTGAGTTTGAACCATGGTTTGAACTGATGTGAGGGCTCACATGTGCTAACCTGCATGCATGGCAGCACTGGCAAAGTCCAAAGTCCTCATCTGAGGATAACATTGGCTATTTGTCATTAAACTTTGGATGTTCAAATCTCTTACTATTCTGAGCACTTGAAGGAGTTCCTGTAAACGGACCATGCTCTTAAAACTTGAGTTTTGACAGATCATTGAACTAAATCGGAAAAGAATGTCTACGACTTCATAGTAAATATTTAATTTATAAAACAATAAAAGGTCAGGCTCCTGATATTTATTGAGTGCTCGCTCAGTAATTGTACTTTAGACTACCTTGAACTAGGTTATACATTTCCGGTTGCTGAGGTGTGTGTATTGACTAACATTTATTGAGATACAAATTAAGACAAAACATTGTTTTAGAAAGCATTCCATCGACTTGTCCTGTGTCCAGGCCACGTTGGTGCAATGCTATATTCCAAGAGGCCTAGTAGTTCCAGGATATACATTGTCTCTGCCTTTAGTTTGAGTTTAAGTTTGGTCATTGTTTGTCAATTCTACAGCACATATGTAAATATGTAATGGTAATGGGGTTATGTTCAATGCTTTCTTATTGAAATGCGCTATAATGTTGAAATCCAAAGAAGCTGAATGAATGAAAATTAAAGCCAGCCCTTTTATTTCATGCAGACCTGAAGGTGAACTTCTTCCAATGTCCACCAGGTGGAGACAGTGTTGGGTTCAAAACACCTCTTTTATAAAATCCCACAACCCTGTATTTTGAAGGGTGAATAATTTAGAAAAAGGGTAAAACAAAATGAAGTATTCCATAGACTCAATTTCAGCTGTGTATTAACAAAGCTGTACATTTTTTTTATTTGTATGGTTTGTCTTGCAAAAGAGAGCAGAATAGAACAACAATGAGCTCAAAAACCTTCATTGCATGTAGGAACACACAAAATTAGCTGAGTTACCCATATAAATTGTTTTAAAATCTGTTTGTTCAATAAAGGTAGACAGTGCAGAGTGAACTGTATTAAATAAATCAAGGTTTGTAACCTTTGTCATGTAGGACATGCACTTATGGGACTGGGCTCACAACCCTGATACATTATTCTGTGCTTACATCAGAAATCTTATGCTTAAGGGACATATGAGTGACTATGAGTATTGATAGGGGTTTAGTATATGTGGTTACATAGACAGTTATTCGGTCGTTTGAATATTCATGCAGAATACATTAAAATGTTGGTCACTGGGTCTATATAATGTATTTGTCTTAATTTCATTAGTAGGTATTTTCAAGAAATAAAGGCTTTTTTATATGTAACAGTAAAGCCAGAGCCGGCCCGACCCATTAAGCGACATAAGCGGCCGCTTAGGGCCCCGCAGCCACTAAGGGCCCCCTAGCAAAAAATGAAAGTACACTCAGTACACCAGTATACCGTCGCCGTGATAAGTATGTTTAATTAATTTTGTTAATATGCCTAGATTGCCTACTCTCAAAGTCATGTATTATATTATTGAGACAATCATAGAATACATTAACCGTGCTTTACCTGAACCTCATCATGACACTAGAGAGGACGGCAGAATTGTAATTTCCCGTGTTCAGTGAATGCAACAGAGGCAAGGCACCCGACCAACCAGAGAGTTGAATGGAAATAAACATCTGTCTTATTGGCTGACAGGTACCTATCCTGTGAGCTGTGACAATGTTTAAAATAAACTGTCAGTCTCAGACTCCGAGTTTTTGAAGATGGACATAAGAACATTTGTTCTTAAAAAAGACGACAATTCTCAAGTGGTGGTTCACACAACAACCCCAGAGCCAGCACTTGAGCCAGGAGAAATTACAGCTACCTTGACGTTACTTTGAATCGCGGCGTTAAGCTAAACCATTAGCAAGTAGCTATAGCTAGCCAGATATATTAAATAAACACTTTGTCATACAATCTAAATGTAATGTTTTTTAGCGTTACCTGGTGATTTCAAAGAAAGCTCTCTGGGAAATGTTGACTTACTGTTCGACATGAAGCTAGAAGCTACTTTACAGTACACAGTTGATCCTGAGTCCTGTCAGTTAAAGTGTTTCATAGTTAGCTTAGCTAAGCATCAACCTAGCACTGAAATATATGGATGTTATGTGACAGTATTTCTGAGAAAAAGTCAGCTGAAATGGTGGCATAGTTGCCACTGCTTTACGCAAGCCAAAGCTCGCTTAGGGCCCCCAAAAGTCTAGGGCCGGCCCTGAGTAAAGCACAGGTGTAAATATCAAAATAAATGATGAGT